AACCTACTTAAAAAAAACAACAGGAAGAATAAAGTTTCAGAGTTTTTTATTCAAAGGTTCTCAAAAGAAATAAAACAGAAAAAGCTAACAATCTGATCAAATGTACAGTTCAAAAGTGTCTTTTGGCGTTTAACAACAAGTCCTAGGAAAGAAAACTACAGAGTTATCTTGAACCGGACAAATAAGTTACCACTGGCAAGTTTGTGGCACTAGTAAAACAAAAATAAAAAATTAACTCTCTTGATCATATAGATATCTCTATGAAAATCTTTTTTTTCAATCTGTACAAAAGGTCTTTCTTCATAAATTAATTTTTTTATAATTTAATGGCTGTCTACTATGTGATGTTTAACTGATTTTCTTTTTCTTTTTTTTTTTTTTTATGTACAGAGGTTATGTTTCCCGAATCTTACCCAGACGAGTATGGCACTTAGTTCAGACAATTCTAGCAGCAGATTTCCCCTCCCCTCTAACTGAGCTATCAAATTTCTGTCTTAACTAATGCAAAAATATCAAGTAGTGAGATACCCAGGTTTATAAACGTACTAGGTACACAGAGGGTGCTGCGTTCAGTCTGGACTTTCACAAAGCAGTAATATTTCAGGGAGCATAGAACCAATAATACCACAACTTTAAAAAAAGGAAACAAAAACAAAACAACACATTTCTCTTATGACTATGTAATTTTCACTAGATTCTACACTTCTCAGAGCAGCAAGGACTTTTGAAACTATGAAATGTCACTGACATCTATAATCAAATACAAGCAATAAAATTTAAGAACTAAAAAATACTCGAAAGAAACAACTGCTTAGCCCTAGCTCCTGAGCTAGGAGGATTTGGTCTGTGGAAACAGGGAGGGCCAGCAACCTGTCCCAGCACAAAAGAAAATAGACTCTGAGGTAGATAACTGATCATACACAGCTGACCAGACAAGTACACAGTTTTGGAAGACAACTTAATTTACCATTGCTTTTAAAACGTATGCAATTACCTTAATAAAAGAGCTTTAACAGTGAATTATCTCATATGTACTAAAGTAGAAATAACTGTGTATTTATGAATCAGGAATTTCATAGTTTCAAAATTGATTTTCTTTACACTTAAACACTTGTAGTGATGATGTAAAGTGTGGCACTGCTTGGATCCAAATCTTCCTTCATGCTTTTTTGTTTGTTTGTGTGTGTCCATACATCAATTAAAATTATAAAACCTAAATGCAAAGGTACAAAAAAGGCACATTCTCCTAACCGCAAACTGGTCCGGCAAAATAAAGAGCACAGAAGATGTGATGCTGAGACAAGTTGGAGCTACTGGTTACTGGCTCTTCGGTCTTTGGTGAAGTTACCTTAAAAGTGCCAAGTCATTTTTATTTTTCAAATTTACCTAATAGGGAGAGGGGGAGAGAAGAAGAGAGGAGGGAGAGGCAGAGAGAGAGGGAGAGAGAAAGAGAGCGAGCTAGTAGCCAATCACTTTATTTCTATTCTTATCTCAGCTTATGTTTGAAGAGAAATCCTTACTTTTAGCTTTTGCCATTTTGTTGCAATAGCAACATTTTTCTGTTTGCCAGATCGCAGGCATGATTCTCATCCTAAAGCACTATCATTAGTATAAAGGAAGGACAAAACATTCGGTGACTCCCCTACCCCGCCCCCCACCCCCAACCCCAACGCTACCTACACTAAATCTAGAACATCAAGTTAGTTTTTTTTCCTGAAAAAAGGCAAAAAAGACTTTACATTGCATCATACAGCAGATATCCTATATCAGTCAAACTATCAGAGGAAACTGTTGGCGTACAGCCTTACAAACAATTTACCCTATTAAAAGTTCCCCAGTCAGAAAATGTGTTTCACACAAAACATCTTTCCCTTCTTGCATTTCACTACCTTACACATTATGTGAAAAATCATTAAAAACACCTACTACATATTTAAAAAAGCCAAAATTTCAGCAACTTTTATTGACTACCTTTTAAAAGCCCTATGCTGCTGTTTTACAAGGCATAATAGACCAGCTCATTGGTCAAAGCATTCTACATCATTAGTTTGAACTAACTTTTACTGAAATAGCTACAGCATCAAAAGAGTTAAGGCAAATTGGAATTCATAGAAAAGGATAAGACACTTCACACTACATTGAAAGAAAAACGGAGAGCTAAGAAAAGACATCGACGGCAACACTGAGTTACAGCAACACTCGCACGGCAAGCACAGAACACCATGGGTGAAGTTGGACGATTTAAACGTCAAAAAGCCCATTTCATACAGCTGAAAAAAAACCACAAATTAAACACAAAATGAACAAAACCACAAAAATCCGGTCATGCACTTGGATAAGTCTTCAATGGTCTTTGTGCATACCCAGAAAACTGAAGTCTTCTTTTCTTTTTTTTTTTTTTTTTTTCATCATAACATTTGATAAAAATCTTTTTTTTTTTTTTTTTTTTTTTTTTTTTTGCTCCTAAAATTTTATTAAAAACCTTTTTTTTTTTTTTGTATTTTTTTTTTGCTTTTGTTTTTTAGTAAAATAAACCTGTTCAGGGGAACAGCTACTAGATGAATTTAAGGGTTTTATGCACCTTATAGAACTTATAGCAAAAATAGTTTTAGTTGATTTCATTATAAATAACGTTTTCAAGAACCTGTGCAAAACTGTCAATAATTTCCTAAAGCACAATTGATCAGAAAAAATCCATGATTGTTCAGCTTTCACACCCTTCTTCATGTAAGAACACCCTTCTGTACATCTGGAAGAGAAAGATAAAAGAGAAATGCTTCTGTAGATTCAGTATGCATACCACAGAGCCTTGTAATCTCTTTCTTGTCTAAAAGAGCTGTTTGAAAAAGGCAGTGCTCATCACTGGAGGCAGACTGAGATACAAACTCTAAGACTGAGGGTCACTTCCAGTGCTTTGACTCTGCCTTTCAAATCTGGGACGTGGGAAATACTTGCTACTTTCAGGGAACCAGAGCTAAATTCACATGGGTCTCAAAAGGGGACGGGAGACATTATAAAATCAGTAACACATATTGTTTCTAGGGCAATCCTGAAATCAGGTTCCACACAGCTACTACACTGCAATATACATGATAAAGTGAAAAGTGTTCAGATTTGTAGTTCAAGTGAGAGCTGGGAGTACAATCTTTTGATCTAAGGGCGCTGACATTCTCACAACTGAAATATTGCTAATTTTATAGTTTATGAGTACTGGAATAATATAATACAGAATACTTGTAGTATAGGAGAATTTTAGTACCTGGTGTTCTTTGATGTTATGGATTTTATGATTTGGGGGTGAGTAATAAAGATTTGACTTAGATGTAAAACACATTTTTCTTTTTGGTCAAAACAGTGAATCTGAAAATTCACAAAATCATTGATATTAGCATTTCAATAAAAATAGGTAAAGTGACTCTGATTAAAGCAGTGATCAAATCTGAGTTATTCTAAGCATCATTTTGATAAAAGAACTACAGATGTACATGATTTGGGCCCACCGTTATGGAGGCCTTCCCCTCATACCTCACAGTTACTTATTGGGTTGAAAAGTGTATGGAGAATGGTCATTAGATGTCTCTACGGCCACTTGCTGCTGACCACTTGCCTCCTACAACAAAGTAGAATAGATAAAACACATTAGCAATGCAATCCTAACTCTGCTTTTTAGAACTGAGTGAGTTCAAGGCATAGACTTTAACAAGAAGCACTGTTTAAAGTAAATTTCCTGATGTCACGCTCAGAGCTTCTAAGTGTAGTAAATCCCCTAAGTGTCTGAACTGACAGACCCAAAAAAACCTCCCATCCAAATGTCTGACTTGTTCATTTTTTATTAAGCCACAATTTATCAAACAACTTTTTAAACTGATTGGTAATTCAGTATCTGCAGGCTTTAGAATGTGAAATGTAGTATGCATGAGCTCTATATCATATAAATACCACTAGTAGGGTCTCAGGTTGTACCTCATGATCAAACATACCAACAGTTCTAGACTGAAGGGCATGAATAAACTCAACGTGTGGGGTAAAGATTTTTGTCTTGTCATAGTTCAGGTTGGGTTTTGCCATAGGTCAGGGATTTTGCTAAAGTATTACAAAGAGAATTTTTATTTTCAGTGTTTTTGAAAAGTTTCAGAATTGCAGATAAGGAATATTGAAACTCTGGTAACTGTGGCTGTCTACAAATGCATCATCAGAAGCAAATAATAAGAATAAGTCAGTTCTATGGCCTTTTTTGGAAATGGAACCTGTGGGATCTGCCTAGTGGATAAAAATCAATTGATGAATTTTCTTGGAATTTTAAGGGTGCTTTGCAGGAAAATACTATGTTTCCTATGCAATTATAATTCAGATGTCAGATTCTTCCATATCAATATCTTCCATTTTAAGAACTAAGAATTATTTAGTCACACTAGCAGTCTCTATAAAATAGGTGTGATTTCCTTATCTGTGTTACACTTTTGAAATGTCAGCTTTCCATTAGGTACATGAATTCTGAATGATTTTTTTAAACATGGTAATGATTGATAGAATATTTGGTATTACAATCTCAAACATTTCTCTAAGTATCATCTTAGGGGCCACAAGTCAAAGCTTTTTTTTTTTTGTCTTCTGGAGACAGGGTCTTGCTATGTAGTTCAGGCTGGTCTTGAGCTCACTCTGTAGCGCAGGTTGGTCTCAAACTTGCAATGATCCTCCTGCCTCAGCCTCCCGAGTGCTGTGATTATAGGCATGCATGCCACCACCACTGGCTTCAAGTCAAAGCTTTGAAGGGGTAGGAAATGCAAGACAAGCTTGGAAAACATTTCCGAGGGTCTTGGGGATGTGGCCTAGATGTTGTTATCCTACTTTGTATGGAAGGAACTCTAGCTGAAAATAACACTCTAGGTATATATTCCTACTAATGTCAATTCATTATGGAAATGTTTGATTTTTGATAAATATTACTCTGAATTCTATTTTGTTCACTCATTTCAGAAGCTACCCTCTGACTGGATGGTCTGTACCAACCTCAACGGGAACGGCCGTTGTCTGCATGTGTGTGTACTGCGGCAAGTAGGCTCCTTGCATAGCTGATGTAGCAGGCATATACTGAAAGGGAGAATAAAGTCAGGATGGACTGGGGTAAAGCATGAAAATTTAGAGTACCTGGGAAATACTGAGATGGACATAAGGTATTTGGAAGTCTCAAAGCAGAGGTTTAAATGGGCTAACCTTAAAGTTTAATTACTGCATATAAATATGTCACATGGCAGTAAAGTATTTTCTACTTTGTGAATTTGTCAGACAAATCTCATGTTTCTTTGGATTTCCTAACAAAGAAGGACTATAGATAAAAATTAAAGTTTTTCATTCTAAATAATTCAGTATCACTAAAGTTATTTTAGAAAAAGTAATTTTCTAGCAGCTCCCCAAACTGGTAGCTAGAATTGTTTCTTTAGATGGAAACCAAAGTGTGGAGGACTTTACACCTTTAACAGGTCACTGGAGATTAAGCGCTGGAGCACAGCTTTCCTGACACCAACAGTCACCATCTCCAGAAACTAAGGAATTCTTAGTCTTGGGGCTGTGTGTGTGGCTGTGGCTTATCCTTCACAAGAAGTTATGGCTGGTTTTGAGTGTAAGAAAGGAAAACATGCTCTCTTTTGATCTTTCAAGCCACCACACATGTAAGCTGAACCAAAAGCCTTTCACCATCTCTTATGATTTAAACTCCATACATACCCACCTGGAAGCTGATCTCATACCAGCTCAACCTCATTACTCAAATGAGTCCCCTGGACTCTCGTGAAATGAATCACTATAAGAATCATGATTAAGTGTTCCCAAATTCCATAAAAGAATTGGAAAAACATTTTTTGCCTTCATTACCATTTATCACCATTTTTTGCTTCAGGAGACCAGAGCTTTAGAACACTGGTTACAAAAACAAGATGTGGCCATGAGTGGGTGCTGTAATTTGACAAAACAGAGAAACCCAGAGAATACCTTTAGTCCTTCAATTAATCAAGAAAGTACTACTCTGTGGAAGGCAATGGGGGGTGAGAAGATCAGACAAATCTTTGTCTTCCAAGAGCCTGTGATTTGATCGGGAAGACACTGGCTGCATTAATTTCTTGTGGAGAAACACGATAGTAAGTTGCCACCTACTGTTCCGGTGCTGCCTAGTGACAGATGACTCATCTGCTGGGCCAGAGGGCTGATCATGGATGCGGGCTGTAGTGACATGGTGTGTTCCATCGAGGGAGTTAGCACGGCACCCTGCGGGGACGAGGCAAGAACAGTGTGAGACAAACTGAGGGAGGGTTAAGATCCTGAAATTACCTTTTGCAAAGGAAATCCCTTTGTTGAGGAACATGAAGAGAAAATAACCTTTCTCAAACTTGCAAGTGATACCATACACAAAAAAATCTGTATTTTTCCTAAAATCCTAAATCTAAAATATAGATTGCTGGATTTCCTAAAGCCTAGATTGCTTTTCTTGAGAATTTCTATGAGGGTTAGGGGAAATGGTATTTTGGCAAAAACTTCACAGAAATCCATGTATTAAGCTTGTCCTTTCCCTTTACTTAACTGTAAAGCAGGCAGCCCAGCAGGAGGAGCTATAACAGAAACACATACTACGTATGGATTAGCAGGTGCATGTTCTGTATGTATGTTTAGGTGTATGTGGATCTGTAGCTGTACACATGTACATATATGGACAAATATATACATGTATACATCACATAATACACATACATCCTTATATCAACAGAGAGCTCTTCTGTGTTATCACCTAACCCTGTTTATTTGCTTGTCAAAGGTCATCTCAGTACTTCTTGTTCAGAATCTGCTATCCCTGGATTGCTGCTTCACACCCACCACCTAATATTACAGCGTCCGCTTTAGGAGGGATCCTGACACAAATTCCTGTCTCATCTTAAGGTCAAGAGCTGATTGAGTTCTTTTCCTAAGTGGCTGACCTGTTTTTATCTTATGAATACTGCGAACTGTCCTGCTGACCAGGGTTCCCAGTTTTCGATGATTCCTTGAAGGTTTAGCTTCAAATCTGCTGCTTTCTTGTGCCAAGTGTGCAGGTCACTGTGACCATTCTTAGCCTTCATTATGATTTTGCTCCCTACCCTTATTTTTTTACTTCTTAAGCCTCTGTTTTACTTCAATAAACTAGGTTTTGTGTATCTTTAAAAACCATTTAATTTCCTATATAATAGACTTATAACTCATTTTGAAAAATTAATACAGTACATACATGAGAACAACAATTATGTAAATTACTTAAGAAATCATACTTATTATTTAGGAAACACAGACAGGCTGAGTAACACTTATGAAAATCTCTTATTTTGAAGGATCTCCCACTAAGCTGGTATGAGTAAGAAAATAGTACTCGCCCTCAAATAGAACATATTTTAAATTCTTATAGACAATTTAACTTAATGTCTACTATTAATTTGCTTGAAGGCAAAAGTACATGGATGTTTTTCATACTCCATGCCTAAAATTTCTCAAATCCTGCATCACTTCTGGGAAACAGCTTGAAGCATGGATGGCTTACTTGTAGAGCACATGGCCACTAAGATGAAAAACTTACAGGGTGCTGTAGGATGTATGGTTGAGGTTGCATCCAGGAAGGACTTTGCACCTGGGAAAAGGAGGATTTTGAAAGAAACATTGATTTTTATTGTAATAATTACCTAGTTCTCTAGAATTCTTTTTAATCATGTTAAAAATCCACAGAAAGAAAATAAAGAAACAATACTATCAATGACTAAAAAGATTAGGGCAGTTAAGAGTTCTTGGTAAGCTGGTCACTCTGAGCGGGATGAAATGATTATTCAGAACTGATTTCTATTTGCCCATGTAAGCAGTATTTACTAAGTATCAGGCACCGAAAAGAAAAAGGTAAAGAAGAAATTTCACTTTTAAGAAATTTAAATAACTCAAATAACTCACTGAAGAGTGTTAAATCAAGGTATGAACTGGTTGCTTTTGGAATTTGGATGAAGATTAATTCCAGCGTATCTTATTAGAAACTAACTTTTACACAGTGTGGGCTTATTTAATAAGAAAAACCAAATTCAACCTATTTTGATACCCAGGACATCAGGTTTCAGAAATCTTATATGGTGATCAACCATTTCTAGTTAGTGTGGAAAATAAATATTAGAAATTCAGACACAGGAAATTAAACTTCAGTAACTAGATCTTGCCATCTACCATTAAAAGGGCATATATACCGTGGACCCTCTGAACTGAAAAATAAAAGGTTAGGGTCAGGGATTGTGGCAGGAAAGCATGTGTAGTCTGCCACTTAAGAGAAGAGTCCATCAGTCCATTTCTTGATGCCCAGGGCTTTCGAGTCTACGTAATTAAAAATGTTTCAGTTTCCAATTCTTAGCAATACAACCCCTCTGTAGCCTATGCCCTAGTGTTAACTTCAGAGATGCTGCAGACAAGATATGGGAAGAACCATGGGGGAAGAACGCATTGTGATTTACCTTGATAGCAGAGCCCCGATACTTGCTTTCTCTGGTTTCCTTTGCCACCTAAGGCAGACCAAAGTTAAGTGCTTCTGCCTCGTTAACATTTCAGTTATCTGGACTGCAGCGTTTTTCCCACTGGGATACTGGTTTTCTTGCAGATGTCAAATTCTCAAATCCAACTGCATGAGCATATGGTGGTTTAGTGGAGAAAGGCCCATTCCACAAACAGTATAGGTCCCTTCCATGATAAATTATGGGAAGGCAAGCCATTCCTTAGGGCTCCCCAATTTGGGCCAGATGCCCTATTTTATTTACGGTCCCAGTGGCCTTAATCTAATTGCTTATAGCATCACAGGGTTAGGGAACTGTGACATCTAATTCAATTTTCTTTCTTCAGTAGCAAATCATTGCTGTCAATTTCTGTTCCTCAGTGTTTCCTAATTATAAAATGGGAATAATAATCTATGATCAAGAAATTTCCTATCATTGGTTCTGAACGTTGTTTGGGTCACAGATCTCTTAGAAAACCTGATGAAAGAAACAGCCTCCACCAGTTTTCAACTAATTACCCTTGTGCACTTGTGTCTGCATGCATGCATCACATGCGCGTGTGTGCGTGCACACACGCACACACACACACAACTTCGCAAACAACTAAAGATCACAAACCACTTAACTGCAGCTCATCCACTGACCCTACCTGGTTCCTGAATGATTGGGGTTAAGCACTTATCTGAGAGGCTATGGCATGAAGTGTCAAGCAAATGGACTGAAATTCCACACGTCCAGAGCAATACAGCAAGCTCAGTAGAGAAAACCAGGCCTTCAAAATGCTATGTTGTTTCTAACTAGCCAAATCAAATTGATTACCAATGTTGGCCTACTAATATGCTGTTCTATAAAATGATTCTGAAATGCATACTGCTTTTATATTAAAGAAAGAAGTGGTAGAAAGACGTTTTAGCAGCTGAAATAGCTACAGCAATACATATCGATGTTAACATGCACATCTTTCATTTTCCTAAGAGGAAGCTTATAGTTGCTCCAAAGTTCAGATAATTAAAGACTACTCTTTCCTATCAGATGTAGGCATTATTTATTAGGGCAAATGCAGTAAAGCAGATCTCAATGAGTCTTACAGATGCAAGGAAATGATAGAATCTTTCGTCTTAAACAATTACAGCAGCATTAAATGAGTGAATACTATGCTTACCAGGTTAAACCATAAGGATAAATAACATAACAACCCAAAGAGAGTAAAGAAATGGAAACGAGGGACAATTCAGGGGAAGGTGCTTAGAAGAACCTGAAAGTTAAGGGTGGTGAATACTACTTCAAAAGTTCACTTTTAGCACATCTAATCACTTCTATTAAAGATATTTTATTCATTTATTCTTACTTTAGATAGAACCAGCTTTAATATTGGCTTGTGTTGACTCATCTATTATTTTAAAAGTACAATTAATATACCCTTAGTATTAGCCAGCTATTAAAAATGATAATAACCATAGCTTATGTTGATAAAGTCCTAATGATACGGTGGGTTCTATATAGACCTCTTTAGGTAGTCAGTCTCATTTAGTTAGTTTCTCTCTCAAGTTTATGGATAGGAACTATTATTATCCCCATTTTAAAGATGAGGAAACTGAGGCTTACAGAAGTTAAAAAAACACAGTTTTTAAATTAGATACTATAGCCCCATAACCCTAGAAATTAGGACTACAACATCCAATTTAATTGTTTTATAAACAAGAATACACAAAAGATTAGTTTAGTCACACAGGATTCCCCACAGTCAACAGAAGAGAGCTGGTCTCCTGAATGTAGGGACTGACTCCATCTTGATGTTCCAGGTGGGGCCAGGCAGAGGGCATCTGCCACAGGAGGACAGGTGCATCTGCAAGGAGAGGAGCTCTCACACCTGCAGTACGGTGGGGTCAGTGTTAGGACACTGGGTTCTGTGAGATTTTCTCAGTCAGGAATCTGTTTTAAGGCAAAGCCGCCTCACAAAATAAGACAAACAGGGAGGTACTATCTTTTTCTTTTGGTGGGGGTTGATCTGATCTTCATTGCTCACTTAACGATCCCTAATAGAGAAACCTTTGTGTACTAGCATGTTTACTGGTTCTTTTATCAGTTCCTGCTAATGAATATAAAAAGTGAGGGTATATCCCTACTCTGCATTTTGCCTATTTCAACTGTCTGAACTTTCAATTTTGGGGATATGTGGTGTCCAAAAGCAGGGCCCATGGTGGAGGAAATATGTGGGTCCACACCAATTCTGAGATGCTGTGATTCCAAGGACTGACAACAGACAACTGTTCCATGGCTTTACATTTTTCTAGACATAAAAGCAAACTACTCTGCCAGATTAAAAAGTAGCTTATTCTAAATTGGGCATGCAAGCTGCATAAAATTCGACTTAAATTTTCTTATAAATGTTCAAAGTTTTAAGACACATGAAAATGCTGCAGAGATTCACAGTGCACAAACTGTCACACTGCAGATGAATCCTAAAGGTACAAACCTGGTAGGCAGATACAGGAGATGCAATATAGGGTGTAAGAGAAGTTTGAGTGATCATTCGGTTTGTAGCAATACTGTATGGTGAAGGATAAAATCTAGAACAAACACAAAAGCCTTTATTAAGTAATCCTTTAAATAGAATAATACTTGGAACAAATGTCTGATAATTTCCACTTTCATTTTCCCTCAGGCCATTATTCATTTATTTTAACAACATACCCGTTCTGTATAGCAGCTGTAGTTGGGTCATAAGTGAGTGTCATACCAGCCTACAGGAAAGAGAGGGAAACATAAATGTTCATCTAGACAGGTATGATTCAAAAACTCTTTTTTTTTTTTTGTACCAGGAATTGAACTCATGATCTTGCACTTGCCAGGCAAGCACTGGGCTGCTGAGCTGTATCTCTGGCCCCAAAACTCCACTTTTTAAGAGTCACTGCAGTAGAAGACAATGACAGTGCCATTTGATAAAATGAGTTTCTCTTCGCCAAGTATAATTATAAACTCAATAAAACACTTAAGCTCTAGACCTTCTCTGTCCCTCGTGCTTGCCATTAGCCACATACAGCTATTTAAAGCTAAATAGAAAATTCAGTCCCTCCAGGAAATAGCTACTCTTCAATTGCTAGGTGGCTACATGCAGCTAGTGGTTATCATTCGACAGTACAGATTCTATTCTCCAGACATACTTGGATCTAAGCATTATTTATTTTTAATGAAACACTTTATTGAAAATACGGAAGTGGAGAGGACCAGTACTTTGTGACAAATTAAAGGTTAAAAAAAGACTCAAAAGAATGAGATTTAAAAATACACAAAAATCACCAAAACCTAAAAACACTCTCAATGACAGTTATACAAGGCTCCGTAGAATACTTTCTCAATATTATAAACATAAACTTCTCTAGAAGGTTATATTTAAACAAAAATAATGCAAACATCAGTGCGTCTTAATACTTTTAGAACCCTTTTCCTTAGTCATCGCTTAGCTGGTAACAGCTGTGTCCAGCATCTATCTGCCCATCTGGAGAATCAGCACTCTTTAGTGCCAGCTACACTGCGAAGGGTTTCCATCCAACAGCACTTGAACTGTAATGTACCAAGATGAAGTTTTAATCTCTGCACCTGTTTCAGAAGTGTGGAAGCCAAGTCAGGACGCTTTCTGTGTAACTCCTCCCGGGAGGGTTTGAGAGCACGCCCACACTGAAATTTGAAGAAAGGACTTACAAGTCTCACCTCTCCTTCTCTATGCCATGGTCTTCCATTAGGGATGTATTTGTTTGGGTTCTGTCTTTTCTTCTGTCCACCATCTGCAAACTTGCACAATAATGGTTCTGTGGGAGCTAAGTACACAAGGAAAAATAATATAAAATTGCAATTATGTGTGTGCAGATAGTGGAATTTCTTTTTTTAATAGAAGCAGTGTTGGGTGTTATGAGGGAACTGATAGAACACTTTACAAAGTTTTCTCAGACCCTTATAAAATTACCTACTGGTAAAAAGCATAGTACAAAATAATGTACTAGTTGTTATTTCCAAACCAGAGTGTCATGACATTTAAAGAACCTTTTAAAGAGCCATTCTGCTGAGGAAGCAAAGCAATCTTCCGATTCATTTCAGCGCTTTATGTGCTTCTTTTTATTCTGGGTCCTCTACAATTCCACCTCTAGAGAGTCACTAAAATAATCTTCAAATGAAAACAGGATTGTACCATCCTCTCCTCCCCCACTTAAAACACTTCCTTAGTTTTCCACTGTAATTCCTCAGGAGATCCCACTTCTCCCAGTAGAAAGCAAGTGCCCTCCTTTAGAGCATTTGGAACACTTTGCCTGTGGTTACCGTTTGGTTTCTGACTTTCCTTGTCTGTCTCATCATCAGTGCATCCCTCGTGCCTGGGAGATGGGCACCTGACACCTTCCCCTGGCTGAATCAATGCATGAACGTAAATAGGTCTTGCTTTTGTTTGGGGGACACAACACTGAAGGTACTTGTTGGTGTGAGAGCTGTAAACACCTGCTCATCCTATTTAAAGGTTTTTCTGTGCCTGCACAAGATGAACCAAAGAAAAACCTCAGAAGCAAACACAGAAAAGCAAAAGATGCAGACCCTCATTAAAGGATATACCTGAGAAGGAGAAAACATCTAGGCCACACAACCACCTGAGACTTTTCCTTTTCTATGATGGAAACAGTGGTGCATTCCTGAAAGTTGTGCACTTTTTGTAAGTTTGCAGTTAACATAATAAAGGCATTCACACCTTCCTGTCTGGTTTCCACATTCAGTCCTTTGTCTACTGAAGAACCATGATTACTACTTTCAAGTTCTGTTTCAAAGTTAAATAACCATGAAGAGAAAAATATTACTTGTGGAAAATTTACTCCTTTCTTCTTTGCCTCTTATTATCCTAATTCATCTCTTATTTTATATCACCATTACCCACCCACTAATTTCAGGGTGGAAGCAATAGTGTCTCTCAACACTTCTCTGCCAAAAAGGAAAACAAAACAGAACATGGAGCTGTAATTCCTTCTCGGTGAGCCATGCAGGCTGTTGTATGGCACTCTTCTCTTCTGTGCACCACTCCTGAGGGATGTGTTTGAATGAGACATTGCCGAATGGCAACTGGACTATGGATACGCTGTGGTTTGCTCTCCAATGGTTCACGTGTTGGGAGCCTGTTTCTCAGTGTGGCCCTGTAAAGCAGTGGGGCCTAGTGGTAGGTACTCTGGTCATGGGGAATGCTGTCACAAAAAGTGAAGATAGTTCTCCTAAGGGCAAGCCCAACCCTTCAATTGCTCTCTGGCTTCCTCTTGCAACTTTTCTCTCATGGGCCACTTGGCATGTGGTCCTCAATGGAGCCAGGGACTATGAACTTTCAGAAATGTGAGCTAAATAAACTTTTCTTTATAAAGTTATCCAGCCTCAGGTATTTTGTTACAGTAATAAAAACAAACCAATACAAGGTACACAGTGTTTACAGTAAAAATGTTAAGTGTCTGGGAGAATATCAGCAAGCCTTGCCCCTTCCACTACAAAGTGTCCTTTATGTACCTTTTGAGGCCAACCCCCTCTAGCTGAGGCTTTCCTAAATAAGGAACTTCCATTTAAGGCAAATTGGGCATGATGTGAGATGGACTCAAGCCAGGTCCTGGAAGGTAAATGAATTATACAGTTTGTCTTATAAAATAGGTACTGACTCTTGAAAAATTTCTACCTTTACCAACAGTTACAGAAGGTGAGACAAAGCAAGAAAATCTGATCACTGATGATATTTTTGATTCTACAAGTGGATCATTAAGGGACATAGGAAAAGTAGAGGTTAGAATACAGCATATAAGTAGAAGGACAGGAAAAAGGATAAATCCTTCTGAGAATAAGGACTTATCACATCTGGAATTCTCCCAAGTTACTTATCTTTGTAGGCAACCAAACAAATGTGGTGCTTAAAATTCCAAGGGGTGAACTCCCATCAATCTCTGGGTCAATGTCTAGGCGCGCATGAGAACATGCCTGGGAGGGGTTGGGGGTACCTCACCTTAATGATTAAGGACAACAGCGATCTCAGATGGACAGAGACAACATCTCACTTTCTGCAGATCTAGAAAGGACCTTACAATACTCAGTGTCCACTCCAGTGACACTGGTGGTTATAAGCTTCTTTGCCTCTACTCAGTCTCATCGGGCAGGAGAGAGTATAATAAACACTGAGGAGTAGACACTTTGTGGATCTTCACCATGAGATTCTTTTACCTAGAGGCTTTCTAAAAACTAGATCTCAGCTTGAAATTTAACCTTTTTTTTTCTTTTTGGTTTGGGAAGAGTTTGTTTGGCTTATCAAGTAATGTAAACTTTTCATTCATTAGAGTAATTTCTTCCAGAGAAAAATGGACTAAGCTGGACTGTTTCTGGAAGTTCACACTGGGTAGGCGGGTGTGAATGAAAGCAGTTGGGTAGCAAGACCCCGGTGCACACTGAAGTGAAAGTCCAGGGTCCCTATCTGGGGATGTGCTTCTAACACATGAGAAGCTTCCCTGTCAGAGGGAAAAAAAAACCCCAGTTGACAATAGAGCCTGTTAAGAATGTACAGTGATAAGGTAAACATCAAGTGAGTGATGCCATGTTTGTAAATGCATCATTTAAAAAAGCACACATGGAACAGGATGCCGTTGAATCTTTAAAAACAAAAGACTTCAAAATTACCACATCATTTGTTGTCATTCAAGATTTATTTCCCCTTGAAAACTAAAAACGTAACTAGTGAAAGTGTGTATACTTTATTTCCTCTCTAAAACTAAAAACGTAAGTAGTTAAACTGTGTATACTGTCAGGTATCCCTTATCTTAGGCAAGCATGATTTTTATTTTAAAGGACTGTAATCAGTGAAATGATATACACTGAATGTCCTTTAATAGTTTCTTGTTTCAAATGAAATAAAGTAGCCAGGCATGGTGGCACACACCTGTAATCTCAGCTACTCTGAAGCAGGAGGGTCACAAGTTCGAGGTCAGCCTGGTCAACTCAGCAAATGAAATAAAAAGTGTCCTAGTATTCCATGTGAAGCAAAATAAAATTCTATCCGTTTCTTTTTTTCCATGAAAACTCTTCTTGTTTTATTTATCAGTGGAAATTTTTGTTGAGTGTCTACTATGTGCTAGGAACATAGGAGCTGGTGATACAGTGGTGGATACATTAAACTCTGCCCCTCCAGGGAGTTTGTGCTTCAGTTTGGATGAGAATGTGCCTGAAGTAGTAAGAATTTATGTACTTATTTATAGGACAGACTCCATGCAGTCAGTTGAAAGCAAATGTTTCTCTTTGACATTAATAGTGACAATCACTTCTAGGGTCCCTGCTTTGAGGAGGCACGATGGTATACAACATGATCTTCCACAAGTCACCTCATTTACTTAACCAAGCAACCCTAAGGACCTGGAGCTCTCTGTAGCTGCAACAGGATGGACCTTCCCCTCAGCATGTTGGAAAGGAGGCCTTCCCAGTGCTTTTTCCTATCAGCATAGCAATAATAGCTGGAGACTATTCCTTCTAAACTCCCACTTTTCTAGCTGTGCAGTATTTCAACTTAATCAACATTCTAAGTAAATGTCAACTGCCCCTGACAGCTTTTCCATCAATTTTGGAAAACTGGTCCACTCAGGAACTGTAATTAGTTTTCTTTCGTTAATGTTAGCTACTTTAAAAAAGCATTCAACTAACAATATGTCAGAAACTACCTGGGCTTTGCTTTTTAAAAATTTCAACCAGGGGGCTGGGGATTTAGCTCAGCGGCAAAAGCGCCTGCCTGGCAAGCGCAAGGTCGTGAGTTCGGTTCCCGGTACCGGAGAAAAACCAAAAAAAAAAAAAAAAAAAAAATTTCAACCTAAGAATCCAATATAAGGTGTGATCAAATATACAGAGAATGTGCAAACAAAGAAATTACTACTGTGAAAGACACAGTGCCATTAACCCCTCAAAATGCCGCTCCCCCCCACACTCATGCTTCATTCTTGCCACCTTCTTAAGAAGTTCTGGAAGATCTTTTTCATGTATTTATGAGATGTGATCAAAGATACAGTGAATGCTGCTGCTGAGTGCCACTCAATGGAAAAGCAGCCCTGTGGAAACCTTACAGTGCCTCTTCTGCTTTACCTGGCATCAGGTAACTTCTGGCTCCTTCCCCAAGTCAAAATGACCATGAAAGGAAAACATGTTGCATCAGTTCTGGACAAGAGAGCCACCACAGCACAACTAAAGATACTCATGAAAGAAGGTCTTCAGAACCGCTTCAGAAAGTGGCAAGAATAATGGGATATCTGTGGTCAGAGCAATGGGGAGCAGTATTTTGAGGGGGATTAATGGCAAGTATCTTCTGCTCTAAAAATTCTTGAAAAATTTAAACTTTCACTGTATTTTGATCATATCTTATATACATTTTGTATGTGCTCAACACTGTTTCCTGTTTCAGACTCCTCTGTTTCTAACGAAGTTCTGCGGGTCTATCATTAGCATAGTTACAGCCTTTCTATGTGAACGTTACTCCTTCCAGGCCTGCTTTTTCAGGACTTGCTCTCCCTTCCTTTCCTCCTCTTACACACCGCTACTCTGAGGAGAGAGTAACACTTGCAGCTTATTCACATTAGCTTTGTTTCCGCTGGGCTTTTTATTTTTACTGGAATTCTTTTCCACTTTATTTTCCAACCCCCCCAAAGGGTTATATATCACTAAAATAACGATTCAACAATATTAAAGTCAGGTTAAACAGAAAACAAAAAGCTCAATACCCTCCCACCACCTGAACATAAATATTTTAATATATTTTTACTGCCTTTCTAAGTACAGAGATACA